CCCTGAACCCCCCCTCCCCCCTCCACCCCAACCACCCACCCCACTTTCTCGCGCAATAATTATAATGTACGAGTGGTCCGGTATTCTTCAATCTTCCCACGTTCTTGTAAGCCTTTATAAACTTTATTAAAGTAGGATCACTCTTTCAGACTGAAAGAAGTCTATTGATGGAAGGCCACCTTTTCCCCATGTCTCGCTATTCTCACGCCCTCCCCCCTTAATGGTGTGAATAGCTTCCAACCCCGGTGTGGGCATGAGGCGAGGACTCGCCCCTAACCTCTCACAAGCCGATAAAATCACCTAGAGTACAGTTGCCCCTTACCAGCCGTCTGCCGCGTGTCTGTGGCTTGTTACCGGAAGTTTGGGATAAAAACTGACCCAGTAAGTTTCCACAAATTGAAACCCATGTTGTAAAAAGATGTTGCAAAATAATCCTTGGCCTTTGGCCGATAAGAGGCAACTGCCAGATTGGTTCTTTAGAGTTATGTTTATACAAAAATACATAGCATTTCGAAGGACCCCAGTGTTGCCCCTTACCGGCCAGTCGGTGGAGTATTTGCCTCTTCCCAGCCATCCATTTCCCCTATACCGGCCACATTAAATAAACATCAATTACATACAAAAGTAACAAACTTACCTCCATCCATCCAAGTCCCTGTCATTCCCACATTCAAAACACCGACTCTCATCATACTCAAACCTCATACGCTCAAGAACTTCCATGCCTTCCTCATCTGAACTGTCCATGTACTCAATTGCATCCGAGTCACCCTGATCACTTTCTCCCTCATTCTCCACAACCTCAGTCTTCCTCTTTTTCAAGCCCTTTCCTTTTTGCTTGTTGTCAGCATTAGCCTTCCTTTTAGCCTCTCTTTCCTTGTCCTTTTTCTCTTTGTTTGCCACTCTTTCCAGTCTCTTTTTCTCTTTCTCTTCATCTTTTCTGCCTTCTTTCTCTCCCTTTCTCTTCCTATCTTCTACAGCTGCTTTCTTTTCCCTTTCCTCTCGTTCTTTTCCCTCCTCAAACTCCTTATACTTTTCTGACACGTATTTTGGGGGCTGAATCCTGTGTCCTGAATTTTTTGATGAACTTTCGTGGGGCAAGGGGAGGTTGTCGAAAGTGGGAGGGGGACAATGGCATCTATAACTGTCCATAATAAAAGAGTTAAGAATGGACTGCTAAGTTTATTGAAAGATATTTGGAGCAATTTCACATTAAAGATATCTATAACTCATCAATGTGCTTTTTTAAAAACTTATTTTTAAGTGGCCGGTAAGGGGCAATTACAGCCAAAAAAGTTTCCCTCAACCGGCCACCCCACTTGTATGGTGAGAATTACGTTTTCAGCCATTACATGCTAATAGGC